TAACGTTAACGTAGTTACGTCTCGTTCCTCCTTACTTACTACTACTACTAAGTAACTAACGTACACTCTACTCTATATATATATATATATATATATATATATATATATATATATATATATACAAGTTCTGTTTTTTTTCCTTTTCTCTTTATTCTTTTCTTATAGCTTAGGTGAAAACATTATTATACTAAAAGATATAATATTTTGTGTTTAAAAAATAAAACAGAAACAGCTACATTTGAAAGGTTGCACGTATTGTGGCTGGATACTGTCCCAGGAGCATGTTAGGTAAATCAGACACAAAGTTCAAAGGTTAACTATCAAATACTGGCTTTGCATGAAAACAAGGCCAACAGGGTATGAATTCACCAAGATAAGTGTTCAAGTTATATCTCCCATTAAACTTTTGCATAACTCTAGTAGCTAAAAATGAAATGGGTATTCATGCTATTCCATAAAAAGACATACTGGTCAAGTTGCTTGAAGCACCACCTATCAATTTCTGTGCAACCTGTATTGAATCAGGTGCAGGGAAATCATTGTCATTGTACACTAGATGGATTATGGTTTGTTTGTTGTTGAGTACAAAGCTACATTATGGACTATCTGTGCTCTGCCCACTATGGGTATCAAAACCAAATTTTTAGCATTTACTGATGACCTACGGAGAGAAGCATGGATTATGGAAAACAACAGGAAGAAGTGGAATGTTTTGAATATAGCAGCCTTACAATGGACCTTTTTGCAATGGAAACTACACTGCAAGGATATTGTCAGGGTGCACCCTCATCAACTAGTGTGAGACTAGTTATAGCAACAAGGAGTGTAATGTGTTAAGGCTCCAAAACAATTCTAATATAATGCACTCAACCTTGTGTATTATGTTCAAAATTTAAGTATGTTTGTTATACTTTGGGACACATTGATCCAATACAATTTCAAACTAGTTTAAACAGCCTTTAAATAAAATATATTTTCTTTAGTTAGGTTTTATTGTTATGTTGAGCATCAGTGATTAATGTAAACTCACATTACAATGTAAACTCAAACTCAAATATTTAGCTGTATTATAATATGGAAACCAGTGATGGGTCAAATAAACCCAAAACATAAGAGGAGAGTTTAAAAAAATAATTTTGTAATATGAACAACATATGTTGTGATCTTTCATTTAAGAAATGTTTGAGCTAAAACAATGATGTTTATACATTAACATACCCATCTACATTCTAAATGATACACTGTATTCACAATTAAGTCAAAGCACATAAGGTATCCATACTTAAATTACATTACACAGTTGACGTTCTAGAACGTGTACATGTAAAATCAGTGACTATTTACATCATAACCTTTGTTGATGAGGAACAAGTTTGTTTTTTTTTAACTTTTACTTATGATTATAAAATAAATATAGGTAAAAACTTGATTAGATGTTACAAAAGAAAGTTAAACTTATGCAGGTTACTTGATAAAATGTGAGAGAACCAATCTATCTTTGAAATAAAATTTGTATGTGTTGTGTGCATTTTATTTTATTTCAGATCTGTAGATATTACAGTTCAAAAGGATACCTAAAATGAGATGTTTGCTAGGCTGTTATTAAACATTACTATTAAGAATTTAGTAGAAGTATTAATTCTGATGCATCAGTATGAAACAAATTTGTATCATTACATCATAATTCATCAGTGTTTGCCCAATAATGCCTCAATTGCATATGTATGCATAAGGAAGCAGTATCTTTTGAATTGTGTGTTTTATCTTTGTGATGTCAGAATATAAGCATTTTTCCCTTTCTTCTGAAGCAAGATGAACAATAAACATGTATTAGAACCAATGTCATCCCATAACACTTCCATAGTCAACTGGTGACAGCACCAGGCTTGTTCATAGAATGTCACACCATTTGTTATCCAAGGTCATGATTGTTTACAATCAAATCTCAAAACATATTAAGTTAAGTCTTCTAAGTGCATCAACCTCTTAGATATTTTTCAAATAAAAAGTTTAGAGTTGACAATTCTAGCAATGGAAAAACATAATCCATCAAGTTATCAAACTGTTCTCCACCTTACCTTTAAGCCTAATTTCTTCATTATTGTAATAAATACATTTATTATACAACTATAAATATAAGGACAGTTTCATAACTGTAATAAATACATTTATCATTCAACTATAGAATATCATAAGGACAGTTTTCATAACAGTAATAAGTACATTTATTATTCAACTATAAAATATCATAAGGACAACTTTCATTAACTGTAATAAATACATTTATTCTACAACTATAAAATACCATAAGGACAATTGTCATTATTGTTCATCACTATATGTAAATCATCACTGTAAAATGATAAATATTAAATTGCACCAGATAAAAGAACCTACACAATAATCAGCTGGGTACAGCAATTCCAGCTCAGCTAGGAGGAAGGCAAAGATTTTCAACCGAGCATGACTCAAAAAGATGTTTGTGTGGCATAATTTTTCTTCAAAACAAAACCACCTAAAATCACTAATACTATTTCACCAAATTTTCTGAGCTTTCTAGAATTGTTGTTTTCTTCACTTACAGTTTTTTATTTACAGATTGTGGTGCTCTGGCTAACCTACAAAGTGAAGTTTGTTACATGGATTCAGATATGTACACTTAGATGTATGCGAGTCTTCCTGTAACTAAGGAATTTTAATACCTGTATTAATTTATAAAACCACTTTGGCTGAAACAGTGTTGTTCCATTAACTCTTTCGACATGGGCTCAGTCCCTGGGACCAACCTCGTAACATTAACCTCGTTATAGTTTAAATACTAATAACTTTTAATATTTTAATTGTATCTTTACAAAATTTTGTAGACTTATAGTAAACATTAGAAGCCTTTTGCACATAAAGAATCAGATTTTTTAATGAAGTATTTTTACTTTAATTTGTCCGTGAAAATAGATTCTTTTTTTTTTAACTAGTCTGAGTGCAAAGTGATTTTCATGTCAAAATTAAAAATACTTTTTGTCTTGTAAAAAATCTAAAATTTCCTTTGTGTAATACCTAAAACCTCCTAAATGCATTTCAAACGTTTTTTTTCACTAAATCCTTATAGTTTTATGTTATTTTCTCTACCCTATCTCAAAATGGTATCAGTCAATTCGACCAACCTCATAACCACCAAAAAAAATTAAATAAAAATATACCTAAATTGACCTTCTTTTCTTTCTAGAATGACTTCAAATTGTAACCTGAAACTACATTCATTTATCCTCAGTAGCTCTAAGTTCATAACATTATACATCTATTTATAATTAAATTTTAATGTTTTATTGCCCTTCTAACCATGTCTAACTGCTATTCCCACCATAAAAGTTGTAAATCACTTGGGGAACGTGCAGCTCACATTACGCTATCGAATTACATTACCCACGAGCTGCTTGCATGCGTACCACATAAATCATTTTAATTATATTATTATTATTACTTATTTTACCTAATCTAGTCTTAAATAACTTAAAAAGATCTGTACTTTTAATGTTAGTCTTTTATAATAATAGATAAAGAATAAATAAGAAAAACAAGAAATAAAGTACTTACACAATCTTCTTTTTTCTTGCCCTTGATTGTGAGGACAGTTAAGCCTGATTTTCTTAGTGATTATAGTAGATAAATTCCCTTACCTCTCAAAATTTTCCTTGCTTTCTAACAATGGGACAAAACCTGTTACAAATTCTTCCAAGCTAGTCGTTAACTTTCCCACGGGAATGAATCTTGTACTGTGAGTGAAATTAACAATATTCTGTTCAGAGTACAACGTTATACA